CATCAAATTGGTATGAAAAAATAATAAAGCACGTCACAATGATTATACTCCATTCGTTGAAAAGAATGTGACTTGTGATAAACATTTAGAATGCGGACCCATTCCTGAAGGTGAATGTAGCAATATGTGTAAAAGTAATGAATAAAGACGTACAATGCATGATTGGATACATACCACAACTCGCCTCTAAGGGAGGCTTGAGAGAAAGAAAGATAATGAATACTAAAGTGTGGTTACATGAATATGTCATTGGTCGCGTACATGTGGTACGCCGAAATGTTTGACATGCCTTATAAAAGGTTATTAAAGGCAAAATTCAAGCAAAAAATAATTTTGCTTATGATGACTTTGACCATGACAATTTATTATAATATGATTTTCTCCGTGAAGGAGACATTTACCATATGAATGGTGTGACAAAATATCTTGTAGTACAAAATCAATTAAGAGCTCCGGAAGAACTAATTTATTACTGCTCGGATGAATAAATAATTTTATGATATTGATATTGTGGTAAGTCTCAAAAGAAGCTTTTTGAAGTTTCAAATGTATAAGACAAAGTGGTTGGAATATTGAGAATATAAATGAAAGGAAGGTTGAATATCTTCGTATTATTATAATCATACCGGGTAAATATAAAAGGTTACCCGACTTTCCTTCTAGTTGTACTACACAAGTATAAGCATGATGATGCAATCATATGCAACAAGTAAACTAGAGGTTTACTGAAACAAATATTAGTTGGCATGACCGGTTGACCATACCGGTTCAATTATGATGCGAAAATTAATTAATATTCACATTAGCATATATTAAAGAAATAGAAGATTCTTCAAGAATTCTTTTGTGCTACTTATTCTCATGATATACCAGCTAAGGTTGGGACTGAATGCGTTGATTTCTGAATGAATAAAAGATGATATATATATATATATATATATATATATATATATATATATATATATATATATATATATATATGGACTGTTTACTATTATATGATTTTAATAGATGCATCTATTGTATGGTCATATGTGTGTTTGACTTGCATTTTGGCTTTTGCAAGGCTACTTGCTCAAATTTAGCACAGTTTCAGAATGTAAATTATAATGATTTATCTTGATAATGTTGGTTTAGATTCAAGTTGGTTTAGCAGAAGTTGTATGCCTCTAATTATAGCTAAATAATTGGTTATGAGAACAAAACTCCCTAAAAGAAATTTGATATGAGATGTATTATTTAATATATAGCAGCATTTGTACGCATCTAGCCAACAAGTTATTAATAAATTCTCCCTATCACAATTGGTTCGGGTTCAGGAACCAAATAAACTTCATCTAGAAATATGAATGTTCTATATGATTTAATTGCTCCACCACAATGCATAAAGATGAGTCCTTAAAGAAGATGGGATATGTTTTGGTGATCCAACATAAGGGGAAAAAAATGGGCAGCTGAAAAAAAAAAATTACATGAAATGAATTATTATGAGTACATCTAGATCCTCACACAAGAAAATATGAACTTGAAGTTCAAGTGATAATACATTTGAAAAATATTACTAGGCACATTTGTTGACCCAAATCTAAATATCATATTTCAGCTGCTAGTCTATGGCACACATGAAGCATAATTGACTAATCGGTTTCAAAAATAGAACTCCTTGAAGAAGGAGAGGAGCAAATGATCAAGATGGTCATAATAAGGAGGCAAGTGCTCTATAAGAGCACCGTGACATAACACTTTATAAGACCTCATAAANTTATTAATAAATTCTCCCTATCACAATTGGTTCAGGGTCAAGAACCAAATAAGTTCCATATAGAAATATGAATGTGCTATATGATTTAATTGCTCCACCATAACGTACAAAGATGAATCCCTAAAGAATGATGGGAAGTCTTGGTGATCCAACATTAGGGGGAGAAAATGGGCAGCTGAAAAAAGTATTACATGAAATGAATTATTATGAGTACATCTAAATCCTCGTACAAGAAAATATGAACTTGAAGTTCAAGTGATAATTCATTTGCAAAATATTGCTAGGCACATTTGTTGACCCAAAGCTAAATATCATATTCAGTTGCTAATGCTCCAAATCGAATAAATTCCATGAAGGACTGAGTCTATGGCACACATGAAGCATAATAGACCAATCGGTTCAAAAATAAAACTCCTTGAAGAAGGAGAGGAGCAAATGATCAAAATGACCATAATAAGGAGGCGAATGCTCTATAAGAGCACGACGACATAACACTTTATAAGACCTTATAAGAGAGGCTCAGGTACCTGAAAATAATGAGATATCGATAAATTATGTCTTTATTGAGTGATGATGGAACCGATATAAAATGATCATCGACGATATTATTGATATAATGTAGCACTCAATATTATTAATATTGACGAGAATCTTGAGCTCAAATCTGTCAGAATGTGGACAGATAAATGATTGGCCAAAATGAAAAATACGCAATCAAGATTGACTTCACCTGAAAAATGTGAAGTTGGACGTATAGTCCCAACACCTGAAAGTATAAAGCCCAGTGGAGGTAAACATATTTTCTTGTGCGAAAGTAAAATGCAAAATCAAGTCTATAGATAAAAGATAACTTGTAGCACAAGATTTTTTCGTAAACATCCTGGCATTGATTATATGGAGACATATTCTCCTGTGGTGGATGCAATCACATTCAGGTATCTTATCAGTCTAGCAATTCATGAAAAACTTGATATGCCTCTTATGGATATTGTCACACCTATTTATATGGCTCACCGGACAATTAAATTTTTATGAAAATCCCTGAAGGATTCAGAGTACCTGAAACATACAAAGCTTCCCGGGAAACTTATTCAATAAAGCTTCAGAAATCCTTGTATGGATTGAAGCAATCAGGGCGCATGTGGTATAATCGCCTCAATGAATACCTATTAAAAGAAGGGTACAAGAATGACACAATTTGTCGTTGTGTCTTTATAAAAAGATCTGGATCTGAATTTGTCATAATAGTTGTGTATGTTGATGACTTGAATATCACTGGAACTCCTGAAGAGCTTCCAAAGGCAGTAGAATGCTTGAAGAAAAAATTTGAAATGAAAGATTTTGGAAAGACAAAATTTTGTCTTGTCTTACAAATTGAGCATTTAAAAAATAGAATATTTGTCCATCAATCAACGTACACCGAAAATATTTTGAAGCGCTTTTATATGGATAAAGCACATCCATTGAGTACCCCGATGGTTGTGAGATCGCGTAATATAAATAAGATCCATTTCGTCCTCATGAAAATAATGAAGAGCTTCTAGGTACTGAAATACCATATCTTAGTGCAATTGGGGCATTAATGTACCTTGCTAATAATTCTAGACCAGGTATAGCTTTTTTTGTAAGCTTGTTAGCAAGATTTAGTTCTTCTGGAACACAAAGACACTGGAATGGTATTAAGCATCTATTCAGATATCTGCGAGGGACCATTGATATGGGATTATTTTATTCAAATGAATCTACGTCACAACTGATAAGTTATGCAGATGCAGGATATTTGTCTGACCACATAAAGGTCGATCTCAAACATGCTATTTATTTACATGTGGAGGTACTGTCATATCATGGCGTTCAACAAAATAAACTATGATTGCTACTTCTTCAAATCATGCAGAGATAATAGCCATTCATGAAGTGAGTCGAGAATGCGTTTGGTTGAGATCAATAACTCAACATATCCAGGAGTTATGTGGTCTTTCATGGGGAAAGGATATCCCAATAACATTATATGAAGATAATGCTGCATGTATAGGTCAACTAAAAGGGGGATATATATTAAAGGAGACAGAACAAAACATATTTCACCAAAATTCTTTTTCACGCATGGTCTTCAAAAGAATGGTGAATTAGATGTTCAACAAATTCGTTCAAGTGATAATTTGGCAGATTTGTTCACTAAGGCATTGCCGACATCAACATTTGAGAAGTTAAGATACAAGATTGGAATGCGTCGTCTCCGAGATATCAAATAAGGTTTTTTTTTATTAGGGGGAGAAATACGCGTTGTACTCTTTTTCCCTTAACCAAGGTTTTGTCCCATTTGGGTTTTCCTGCTAAGGTTTTTAATGAGGCAACTCTTAATGCGTATTACAAGATATGTGTACTCTTTTTCCTTCACTAAGATTTTTTCCACTGGGATTTTCTTAGTAAGGTTTTAATGAGGCACATTATCTGTTAGTGGACATCCAAGGGGGAGTGTTATAAATCCTGCAAATGGTTTCATCCACTTGCAACGATGGATGTCTTCCATAACAATTTTAGATTGGTTATGTATCCTTAACAGGTTTTAGATTGATTATGTATCCAAAACATGTTTTAGATTGGTTATGTATCCAAAACAGGTTTTAGATTGGTTATGTATTCATAACAGATTTTGGATTGGTTTCGTAACAACAAAATATTTCTATAAATAGGTTCACTGATGAACGTATTCGATATACTCTCAAAACGAACAAGTAAATCCTCTCTTCTAATGTTATCATTCTCTTCTATTATTAGTCCTAGTTAATTACATAGTTCTTGCTATATTGTTTTATTTTATAACATACCCACATTTTTACGATTTTACATTCAACTACGCACTTTTTAAATGATTTAGGAATTGATTTTTGTGAGCTTAATTATTATGGAAAACATTTGAATGATAAATAGGGATGCAATTCACTTGGAAGAAATAAGAAAAATAAAAAAGTGATATGTAATAGTCCAACAAGTTTTCATAGCTCAATTGGTTAGAGTACCCGTTCAGTAAGCGGGAGGTCTTGAGTTCGACTCTCAATGAAAGCAAAATTATTTTTCCAGCTTAAAGTTTTGCCGTTTATGGTATTTGATTCCTTGCTCTCTTGCTCTTTATATTCTAGTTCGCTTATTTCAAATACCTTATCTTCAACTACTTGATTCATCGCTTTCTTATTCTTTTTCCTTTTAATGGCTTTAGGAAAAGAAAAAAGAAAAATGAAAAACCTAAAAGCACTTATAAATACTGGAGTATGTATACACTAAACCAATAGCTCAACAGGAATTCAACTACTTGATACATTCTCCTGTGGCAAATCAGCACCTCCCTCTACCATTTTCTTACTCATATTCTCAACACAAGGTCCATATGCCCAACTACAAACCATAAAATAAAGCAAATTAAAACCTGTCATAATTGCAAGAAGCCAGTAATAGTTCTCGTAGCGACCTCTGTTAATATTGCTTGAAACCCAACTTTCTTTCCCTTCTCCTTTAGTAAGATTATCCACATTGCTCAGTATCACACTTGCCAACAGATTTGCCACAGCCATTCCTAGTCCAAACATAGCAGCTGCTATACTTGACATACTTTTAGGAAGCTCAGAATAGTAGAACTCGGTTTGGCCAATTGCATTGAATGCCTCGGCTATTCCGTTTAAACAATGTTGTGGTACAAGCCACATTGCTGACATTGTCACGACCCCTTCAGGATTGTTCAAAAGACCTTGCTCGATTGCCTTTCCTCGTCGAATATGTTCTATGATACCGGATATTAACATGCCCATGCAAGAGAAGAATATCCCAATTCCCATTCTTTCTTTGGTTCCAAGACGAACTGGTTTTCCTCTGATTCTTGATGCCAATGGAAGGATAGCGCGATCATATAGGACAAGCCAAATTGTTAAAGCAATGATAGTAAACATTCCAAAAGAGCCTGCTGGAATTTCAATGCTTTTAGTTATATGTCTGTTCATGGAATTAGCTTGAAGTAAAGGGAACGAACTTTGGCTTAAGTTTATCGATATCATGATCCCCGTTGACCACAATGGCATCACTCTAATGAGCGATTTTAGGTCCTCAACTTGCTCGACTGTGCAAAGATTCCATGGGTCGACTGCAACGCCATCTTGTTTAACATCTTCAGGGCATTTTATGATACAAGCCTTGTTTAAGAACCTAAATATAGGAAACATCAGCTTTTAAATAGGAAAAACAAAAAAAGGGCAGCCCGGTACACTAAGCTCCCGCTATGCACGAGATACGGGGAAGGGCCGTACCACAAGGTTTTATTGTATGCAGTTTTGCCCGCAAGACTTGAACCCGTGACCTCCTGGTCACATGGCAGCAACTTTATCAGTTACGCCAAGGCTCCCTTAAATAGGAAAAACAAAAAGGTAATAAATCCTAGGATAAACGAGAGAGTTTTGTCACACCTCAATTTGTTCGTTGGCACGGAAAATTCTGAACCTTTGTTGTGATGGTAACCAGAATTCTCAGAAGGATAAGCAACTTTCCTATTCTTATAAGCAACCACAATTACTTGTGCTAATCCGGTAAACAAGTTTTTGCTGGGCTTTTGCTTGATATAAAGTGGAGAAGCAAGAAAAAACAGCAGACCAGAGAAGAACATAATTATAGCAGGAACTCCAAAGCCAACTTTCCATCCCATGTGATCTTGAAGGTATACAATACCGGTCATAGCAATCAGAACAGAGATCATAGCTGAAGCATAGTACCAGTTAAAAAATGTCTCCAACACGCGTTTGTTATTAGGATTATCGGGCTTGTCAAACTGATTTGCACCGAATGCTAAAGAACATGGTCTTACACCACCAGCGCCAATCGACATTAGCATAAACGAGGAAACCAAGAGCGTATATTGAGCCGGTGTTGTAGATTTACACGCCTGACCTGATAGATCGCAAGCGGAAGGCCTTGCTTTCGGAATCATTGCTGTTAACCACAATAGAACTGCTCCCTGCAAATGGAACATTAAGATGTTGACGGAAACAGAATTTCAAGAAGATGAGTGCATCACTATCTTTAACATATATATTTAATTTGGTTATATGAAATTCAATGATAAACGCTAACTAAATGAGTAATTATAATTAGTTGATGCTATCATCTCAACAAATTATCACTCAGTTTTACAATAAGCTGTAGAAGTTTATTCTTTTTGATAACCTGTTAGGAGTTTATTCTTTTAACAGCTAATTAAACACAAGAGCTCGTATTGTTCGATATTTTAGAAATTTAACATTGAAGATTTGTTTCTGAATTTGAATCTCGCAAACTAAAAATAGATCAGGAATATTTTGGTCTAATGGAGCTTTTAAGTCATCTTTTGGCAAAAGCTACGCGTAGGCAGTTTAAGCATCTGACATATGTATAGTTTATGACCTCGATTAATTCCACTGAGTACCTGCTATCATCCACCGGTACTTGTACCAGGTAATTCTAATCAAAAGGACATGGGCAGGATTTGAACCTGAGACATGATTCAGCTCCCACTTTATTCACCACTAAGGTCACACCCTTAAATGACGTTTAAGCTCCCACTAGGCGCGGGGTTCGGGAAGGGCCGGACCACAAAGGTCTATTATACACAGCATTAACCTGTATTTCTCGAAGAGGCTGTGTCCACGGCTCTAACTGTGACCTCCTGGTCACATGGCAACACTTTACCGGTTACGCCAAGACTCCCGTTGACGTTTCTTCCAAATAGAATCAACTAATATTAGCAGTAAATAAGATAATCACGCACTGTACAGATCTAAACTGCATTGGATCCTCTGATTAGAATAACCAGTACTAAGAACTATACTAGTATAAAATTTTGTCAGCCTAAGATATAAGTAGCAGTGTAATTCTATTTTGCACTATTGAGATATGCTCAGGTATAGGGATCCAATCACAGTCCTTCCTTCTTCTACCTCCCTCTCTTCCAATATTCACGAGCCCACCAACAGAAGGAAAAAAAAAGAAGACAAAAGCAGTACTTTGTCATCCAAAAAGTAATATTCCACTATGAAAATAGAAAATTTTTTATCCGTACTTGATGTTTATAATATGGTAAAAACTTAACCGCACCGGGTGTTTACACCAAACCAATAGATATATGACATGTGTCTTGCATATGGACTTCAATCATTTAACCATGGTAAATTACGTGCATTCTCATCTAATTAAATTAATTAACCATAGTGAGTTAATATAGTTTAGTGTAAACACCCGGTGTGGGTAAGTATTAGATGAGAATAGAAAATTTTTTATCCGTACTTGATGTTTATAATATTAATTTACCATGACAAAGTAATAAATTTGGGTTGAGAATGAGTATTAATTAACATTAATGTATGTAAAAACATGTCATATATTCATTACTTTGGTGTAAATACTAAACAAATTTTTCCCTGAAAAAATAGAGGTGGCTACGTGATAGACATGAATTAAGCAGTATTTAATACTTAAACTTGACAGGTTACACTTAATCTACCTCACACGACATGACAACATTATACAGCTATAGTACCCTAAGATTAACTAACAAACTATGGAGTATATGTTTATTTTAATATATACAGTTAGCTACCAGCTTTTTAAATAATGCTAAACCGAGAAGATAGGAAAAAGTGTCAAAATAAACTACTCCATAAGTGATAAGCCCATTAAATATTGGCAAATGGGAAACTAAGAAGGAAAGACTTCATACTATAATATGCGCTGACAGTTAAGAGGACAACAAATCTACATTGTATCAAGGCTGGAAACAAGTGTACCTCGTACCAATTACTACAGTATATAAAATTCAGGTTCCGTAAAAACCAGTTAATGATTTACGGAGTAGTAATAATTACCAGGAAACTGAAGATGGAACCAAATCCAATTACAAGGAATCGACCCAGATATGAATCTGCAATGAAAGCTCCAACTAGTGGCAAGAAATTTGTAGCCGATGACCAATAAAAGAGTAGATTTTGAGCTGCAGTGACTCCCATTCTGTAATCTTTCATAAGATAGAATGTCATGTTGGGTAAAAGTCCATAACTTGCCACCTTCTCCAGCGACTCATTTGCTGTTCACAACGTAAAAACCATGTTTGGGTCATGTTAATTGCCCACAAATAGCCAGTAAATTCAGTTTATAAGAATGTCTAACACATCTATACAAGATGGAGTAGAAAAGAACAAAAATAAAAAAATTTAAAAACTAATTATTCCCTCCGGAGAGAGAGAGTAAAGTGGTACCAGAATGCACATTACATTGTATATAAGATGTTACTACTAATATATAGAGTATTTTTGCCGAACTTTAGGGGTGCCGGTTATCCCTAATTTTATAACATAGGTGTGACTCTGCCTATAAGTCACTATGAAAGTAGCTACTAAATGGTTTTATTAGGGTAGACTGACTATATCGTATCCTATTGATGCGATCCTTCCCAGACCCTGCTTGAAAACAGGATACTTTGTGCACTGGGCAGCCTCACTTATCATCCATTTTAGATGGAAAACAAATTGATTGGACACAGAATTTAAAAAAGAAAGACTTTCGGAACGTGCGTCGTAGAAAAAGACATGAAATTTTCCATGGAAATGGTTACCTATAATGAATGGCATGGTTATAAGACCACCCTTAGATCTTGTCATGATTCTTGGAACCGCCATTGGAGAAAAAGAAGAAGAAGAAATTTGGTGGTGATCATCCTCCTCCGTTTTAGTCATATGATCTGAAGAAAGTTCCATCATTTCCTTCTCGGCCATTAGCAACAGCAAGAAGATGACTAAGCTGGTTACTAACTAGTGATGAAAGTAAGCAGAGAACGAGAATTAGGTAAAGAGGGGGGGATTGTGTTTTCTTATGATGTAGTGAAGTGAAACTCAAAAACAAGCTGAAAGCTGGATGTATAGTGATATCAGACAAGTATCATGGGGATGGGTTGGGGTTGGCTCTGCAGTTGCTTTTTTCCTACGACAAGAAATATTGCCATTATACCCTCTCTCTCTCGCTTTTTAAAAAGATGACTAATAATTCGACCGTCTGCACCCTGCAGACAAGCTGGCAGGGAATTACGTGCGATTCTGTGTTAAAGGTTACATCCTTTAATTTTATATTTTATTGTATTTTTTCTTTTAACAATGAGCACGAACGAACAGAGAAGATGAGCATTGGTGTAATTGCTAAAGTTGCTGTCACGTTCGAGCCGTGAAAATAATATCTTGCAGAAATGCAGGGTAAGATTGTGTACAAACCTTTGTGGTCCGGCCCTTCCCCAAACCCCACATATAACGTGAGTTTAGTGCATCGGGCTGCCCTTTTAATGAGCACGAACATTAGTTCCTCCATTTTAATTTATATGGTGGTAGTTAATTGGAAAAAGAAATAAATTACCAAAATTTATGTTAAATATAAAGTTTAAAGTTGAATTATTTTTAAATATAAAAAGATGACTTTTTTAGAACAGATTAATTATATGAGAAAAATGTGATAATCTAATTTGAAACATATGGAGTAATACTACTTTGTTCATCACAATCATTTTACATGAAATTAATTGGGGAAAGAAGGCTTTTGCAACAATCTTTTCAGCGGATAACGATAACAACATTTAAATACTCCCTTTATTCTAATTTATGATATTTTTTGCTTATTGAGATTCAAACTTCTTAATTTTGAGTTCAAAGGGGTTTTATATAGGCACTATCACATAAAAGAAAAAAATCACCTAATAAAATGGTTAAATACTTGCCAACAAAAATCTAATGGAGGCCTAGGCATTCACTATGTTAATGTAAAAAATATGTGCACCTTAGCTAGTCTAGTATGGAGACTACTCACAAATGCTACAACTCCCTAGGCAAGACTTATTATCACCTCATATGGTATTAGTACTGCTAAGATCAAATACTCCTTCATTTGAAAAGGTATCCTAAAGGAGTGAGAGTTATGTTCAAAAGGTATTACATGGTCACCCCACTACCAATCTAATATGAATATATGGCATACTAATTGGATTCCCAATGTAAAAAGCCTTAGAAATACTATTGAAGACCCTCTCTCGATTAGTGATTACTCCATGAAAATTAGGGACTTTATAGTGACCATAAATGGGATTTCACTAAGTTATCTATTAACATCCCAAACGACATCAATGAAAACATTTCTAAGGTAAGAATTCGTTCAAAGGGATTAGCAAGTGATATTCCTATATGGTCACTAACAACAAAAGTTTTTTCACTATAAAAATTTGCTGCAATCTAATTGACTCCCCTTTAGATAACCAACTGGATTATAAATGGATTTGGGATCTAAATTGTCCTAATAAGATAAAATTCTTCTTATGGCAATGTCTACACAATAGGATACCATGTAGAAAATACCTAGCTAATATAGGTATTAACATAGACTTATTGTGTGGGCCAAAATCTGAACAAAAGAATTCTACTCAAGGAAGAACGACCAAGAGTCGATCAAAACGAGGTCAATTATTGGAAGCAATATACCGGCGAGTGATTCAGTTACGGTCGAGGTCGAGCACTCAATTCGGCCTGAACGGCTGGATCAACACTTATATTTTAGAGGAATATTCCACGGGATATTCCAAAAACTTAGGTATTCCGGTTAAGGACCGCTGGGTAAGGAAAGTGTTTGGTATAAATATCATGAGAGAGTGTGACATAAGGGGAATGGCCTGAGAAGAACACACACACACAAACATATACATCTCTCAAAAGATGAAGATATTCCCCAACCTCAGGCTCTTCGCCGAAAAAGGAGATAAGAGCTTAGAATCTCGGTATTCATCTGTAATTCAATTTCATCAAATGTACGGAAGTCAGTCTTGCTGAAAAATGGTGATTTTTTTCCTTTATGTATTCTTCATTATCATTTGATATTATTGGAGCAATCATCATTTCTTACATTGTGAGATTCAATCGCAGCTACAATTAAATTTTATGTTCAGTTATGCTTGTTTATTCCTATCTCCCATCTCAGATCTAGAATAAATTATCTCTGGCTAGAATTTGCCCCAAATCTTTTTATTTAGTTAGTTTAAGAAAAAGTCCTAATACTTTTCAGTCAAATAATTTGGTGTCGTCTGTGGGGAATTTTCTAGCAAAAATCTTAGTTTCCTCTAGATCTAAAGTCAATCAGAGTTCCACTTCCCGGTTTTCATAGCCTCGCCCTCTCATTACAAACACCAACTTGAGAAATTTGTAGGCAAGCTTTTGAAATAACCGAACCAACCAAGGTCAGATCTTTGCATGAAATCGAAATTATGTTTGATATCTATACGAAATCCACGTCTTGCTGTAGTGATGGGTTTGGTACGTCGTGAGTATGAGTTGTCAAAGTAGGATTATGGCCACTACGCACTGAGCACGTCCGCAATCCTATTTGCTATATTAACGTTAGATACCAATTCTGTACTTTATGCACACTGCCCCCTCTCTCTTAGGAAGGGACGATAGCCTATTGTGTAATTCTTTGAAATAACAAGCTTGTCCTGCCCGTATGTACGGAGTATAACTTATGTTTCCCTTATTTTTGTGCACCTGGGACGTGATTAGACCGGGACTCAAACTCGAGATCCCAACGGGCAAAGTAAGTTGTCAGCCCATAAGATACCCAGACTCGACTAACGACAAAGCTAAGCACGAGGCTGAGATCAAATCTGAAGCCAGCATTCGAGTATGGGGCAAAACGAGTCGTTCTACAACGCCCCTCTCCCCTCGCCAACCAATCAGGTCAAGGTAACAAACGATTTCGTTTAAGTTTAACATGTTATTTTTTCTTTTGGATTAGGATAGGAACATGAGCATTCCCCCAGATGCGCGAACAAGGAACAAACGCCATCGAACAAACACACTAGGAAAACGTTCAGCACTATATCATCCTGCAGGCAACGGTCGAGTAAACCCCCCTCCCCCAAAGAGTTGGTGCTTAACGCCATAAAGGAAAAAGCCTGTATAGACTAGGACTGGGTCTCCAGCCCGAAAAATATACGAATCTCTCCAACAAGTTGGTGCTTAATGCCATAAAAGGAAAAGCCTGTATAGACTGGGACTGGGTCACCAGCCCGGAAAACATACGAATCTCTCCAACATGTAGACAGAACACAAGTGCATGAAACTCACACACGCACTCGCCAAAGAAACTATGCGACGATACAACTAGCTAAAATTTGATCTCGTCCATACATTAAGACGTCCCGAAGCTTGACCAAGACATTCATCGCTCCGCCTATTGACTACTTCTCTAGGACGAGCGATGAAGGGACTACACAGACTGGGACTCCTCGAATGTACGTACGGATCGAACAGAAACATGTAATATTCTCCAATGAACAAACAAATCAGTATGACATTCTTACACATCACCAAATGTACACAATCACGCCAACATAAAGGAAATATACATTCGATCTCACTTGAATTATTTTCTAAGTCTACATTCGACCTCGCTCGAATCGACTTACATTTCAACCTTGTTCGAATCAATCTACATTCGACCTCGCTCGAATTAGCAAGTCAAAATTCGACCTCGCTCGAATTAGCAAGTCAAATCTGACCTCGCTCGAATTAACAAATTAAATTCGACCTCGCTCGAATTAGTAGGTCAAATCTGACCTCGCTCGAATTAACAAATTAAATTCGACCTCGCTCGAATTAGCAAGTCAAATTTGACCTAATTCGAACTAACAAACTAAATTCGACCTCGAATTAGCAGGTCAATCTGACCTTGCTCGAGTTAACAAGTCAAGTTCGATCTCGAATTAGTAGGTCAAATCTGACCTCGCTCGAGTTAACAAGTCAAGCTCGACCTCGCCCGAATCGACAGGTGAAATTCAACCCTGCTCGAGTTAACTACCACAAGTCAGGGACTTATTACGAGAAGATCCAAGAAATTCGAAAAGAAAAGAGAAGGAAAGGCCAAAGGAATACAATCAAGGACGAATCAACTACTTCATTCAAAGAAAATATAGCGTCTTACAAAGGGCCATAAGGGGGCCCCTACCCAACCAAGTAAAAAAAAACTAAGTACAGGAGGAAAAATTAAGTACAAGAGCTTCATTCAGCATTATCCCCATCCACGCCGTCACCTCTCTCTCCGCTTGGTTCAGCAGCTTCACCTCCATCATCACCCTCTCTATCGGAATGTTCTCATTAAAGGCAAGCCCGTCCTCGGCCTCATCAACTCCACCAGCCTCTAGCGTCATGGAGTCATAACCACAGGCAAGCCGGGCCTCACGCGCATTAACTCGAGCCTCTTCGAAAGCGACTTCAGAAACACCCTCCGCTGCCAACAAATCCTTATATATATCATGCTGAGCCTCATCATGGATCCACATCTCATACAAAGGGCGAGGAACAACAACAGAGGCAGACGTAGGAGGAGTCGAAGCTAACAATTGAGCCCTCTCAGCCTCGAGAGCAGCAATTTGATCACCCAGGGTCGAAACTTCTCTCTCAAGCTCGTCAATTATCTCATCAAGCCGCACCTCCCTCAGAGTGGCCGTTTCCATCTCAGTTGCACGCTCAGACCCGAGAACGCGAATAGAATCTTCCAGTGTCACAGCCCCCGCCAAGGCCGTTACTCGGGCTCCTTTGGCCCTCCCTAACTCGGTCGCCTTCCCTTCCAATTCGTCGCCTTCTCCGCCAATTCAACACTTAGACCGGCGACCCTAGAGTCACTCTGCTCAAGCTCCGCCTGCAGGGCCACCACCTTCGTCTGAAGATCAACACACTCAGCCGCAACACCCTTGCCCACCTCAAGCTCTTCTTCCTTAGCCCTAAGCAGCCTCTCGAGTTCGCTGCATCTGCCCATAGACAGCATCAGGTCCTCCTCCTTCCGCTCTAACTCCTCCCTAAGGGACTGAGGATTGCCGCCCACCCTGAGTCGTACATGCATCTCGCGGCACTTGTCACGGTATTGTTGGTATTTTAAAACCATTTTTTGAAAAGCTGCAGCCCGCCTCTCC